TGTAAATTACGGGAAAAGAGAGGGAAGGGACATCTTATTCTTAGGTTGACTAAAATTATCATTAAGTAACACTCGTGCTCCAAAACCATTGTCCTTCACAACTTCAGTTACTTGAATTTCTAACAGAGCTATTGTCTAGCAGTTAGGTCTGAAAAGTGTTATGACTGGCTTAAAATGAGAGAGGCACCCTGTTCCTTCTCTTCTACACCCCCAGATACACACCGTCCTCTTGTCCCTTGCGTCAACCTTAATGACCACCCTGCCTGCAATGAGCTGGATCAGCTTTTTGACTCAGCTGTAAATCAACTATCGTGATGTTTTACTAACATTGAGTCAAATGGACTCTGCGTACTGACCTACCTTAAGTGCTTTGCCCTGAAGCTCATCAATGATGCCTCTGATTTTTCCCAACAAGAAAGGCCAGGAGTTGATGAGGTAAATCCGGTCCATCATGATAGTGATGATGCTGTACCAGCGCTGGAAACCTCGAGCCAGGCTGTCTTTGATAAAGAAGGTGTGGCTGAACACAAAACCATGCTGTTCATCTCCGAAAAAAATAGGGCCTTCACGTCCTGGGCAGACCTGAAGGGGAGGGACACAGACAGCAAAGTAGTTAAGCACATCACACAGCTGAAACGGTAATAAACTGAACAAAGCTTCCTGCTCTTTAACACACACTTGGTGAATAAAACAAGCCTTTTTTAGGCTACTATCCAAAACCCAGGGTCAAACAGACCTCCAGAGGTATCCTACAAACCCTTCAATTTAGCTGTATTTTAAGAATTCAGCTCTATTCAACTACAATACTGTTGAGAATCCACAAGGGATTTTGCTGATCCTGACACGCAAATGCTCATTAATCTGTAAGGTTCTCCCTTCACTTCTATGTGGTGTTGAATGTTAATGGTCTACAAAGATCAAATATTTCTCGGCACTAAACAACAGATTCCAATGTTTTTACAAAAACAGTTTATCTTACAAAGAAAAACAATAAAGATGTAGGAGCAAGAATAAGAAAGGGTAATTTTTGGTCTCATGAGGTGAGAGGAAGTAACCCTCAAGGTTATCAAAGATCAACCTTAAAAATTACCACCAGTCCTGGAATGAACAGACTTGTGTGTCTGTCTTTCCACCTCCATTCCCTCCTTGTTTCAGACTGCACAGAGCAGCCAGGATCAGCAAAGCACTATCTTGGATTTGAAACGATACATAAGGCCATAAAATAGGTTTTCTCCCTGTACTCCAAGACAGTTACCTCGCAGCTCAGACTGCGAACGCAGGCCTGGCGCACGATGCTGAACAGCTGGGGGTGGTTTGGGTGTTGGTGACTGACGTACTTGATTGAAGTTTCTTTGTCGTGGCTGACATATCCAGGATGTCCTCCTGCAAGAGAGCGGCAACCCTGAAGATAGAAAAGCAAATTCAGCCATAAATGAGCATGCAGTTATCTAAGGTTTCCAAAGGCCTCTGCATATTCCCTTCAGAACGTAGGGAAACGTTACTTACACATATAGATAAGAACACAAGTACTTAGAAGACAAGAATTATGACTCAGGGTCAGGATTTGAACCCAGCTCCTCACATAGAACTCTGTGCGATATACTTCCTCTGCCCTTATGCTAACTTTCCACTATTTAATTTGATTGTGAACTTGGTGCTGGCTCTACAAGTGGTAAAATTCAGTTAACAGCAGCTGTGAAACCAACTGGCCTAACACAACTGGCCATAACCTAAAGGAAAGTGAATAACAAATACCTCAGAACAAATACTAATAATAGACAGGCATGAGAACAACTGAGAACATCCATTTTCTCTATTGTTTTAATTGCTTTTGCATTGTTTTTGTTTCCTAATCAATACTGCTCTTAAAATTACTATTAATAAATGACCAGACCTAATCTAATAAAGTAAATGCTCTTCAAGGATGAGGAAAGCATTTCTCAGCCGCAAGAGAATCACAGATCACAGGGCTTAAAGAGACCTCAAGACACCATCTTGTCAAGGTCCATATACTCAACAACAGCTCCTTCATCCTCTTGTCACGGGACGTTACAGTTTATGAGGACTTGGAGATCTTCTGGTACTAGCAATCACATACAAAACAAGTGCCGTTCACTTCCCTCCCCCCCGCCCCTTAAACAATTCAATTTGCATTAGAGAATCCAAGAGCCCTTTAGTTAAGCCAAGGGCCACTGATGTCCGCACACAGATCTTCACACTTGCCTCACACATGTCTGACTTCTTTGGCCCTGGGCTGCTGGAGTCGGCGCTGGCACCTTCTGCCGGGCTGTGCGAGCGGATCCGACTGCTCATCTGAATGCCACCTTCTTCCTCTTCTGCCTGCTCATTCTGCCCAGAGATGTCCCCGCTGCTTGCGCCTTGGGGAAGCGGTGAATGTAGAACCTCAGTACAGAAGAGGGTGCGAGGACCGTGGAGCTCACAAAAATGGCAGAGGGCAACAATAGCATTCATAGTGAGAGCTCAGCACATACGTCAGGCCTCCTGCGGGCAAGGGAGAAAGCACACAAATTCAGCACAACAGATATTAAAGCACCTCTTAGGCCTGACTGGTTCAAGTCCTGCTCTACATCCCTCCAGGAGCGGCTGGCCTTAAGCTCAGCCTAAGGGACCAGCACAACTCCCCCACGGGGTGACCCGAGCAAGGACCAGCCCTTCGTGCCCTGAGGGGATGGGACTCAAGCAGATCGATCCCCCCGTGCCCGGGTCCCTGACTCTGAGCCGGGACACCTCAGGCCCCCCACGGGGGTGGAACGGGACTGGACCGGACCAACCCCCTCCTGCCCGCACACCGCCGGTCTTCCCGGGACAGGTTGGGGTCTGACAGACCAGACCTCCGGGCCCGGACGCCTCGGGCCCTGTCGGGCCCGGCGCAGCCTCCCTGTGCCCAGAGGCCTCAGGCCGTAACGGGTCGGGACCGGCCCTGCTCAGCGGGACCGGCCCTGCTCAGCGGCCC